GCTTTTGATATGCTTGTCGTTTATCTAGAGGCTTATCCGGAGGAATTTTGTGTGTGGGATAGGAGGTTTTCTAGCAAGAACATTCTTTGTGGAGATAATTATATTGTTATTGAGGGTCTTTGGTTGACAACAAATACTAAAATACATGTTGTTTCTTTATATGCACCTCAAGGAGTTTTACTAAAAAAAAACTTGGTCGGAGCAACTTACGGTGTTTATTAACCGATGGGATGGAGAGGTTATTGTTATAGGGGATTTTAGTGAGGTTCGTTTTGAAAGTGAAAGATATGGGTTTATTTTTTATCCTCAGTTGGCTGATTTGTTTGATTCTTTTATTTCTCATACAGGGTTTTATGAACTTCTTGGGGGTTATTCTTACACTTGGACGAACAAGCTTACTACAAAAATGAGTAAGTTAGACAGATTTCATCTTTTAGAGAGCCTTTTGGAGATGTCCGCATATAGTTGATCTTATCTTAGATCGTCATTTATCTGATCATCGTCCGTTTCTTCTTCGAGAAGTGATTTCTAATTACAGTCCTTCCTTTAGATTGTTCCATTCTTGGTTTCTTGTTGAAGATTTTCAAAAGGTTGTTGAAGCCTCTTGGAAGAATAATAGGATTTTAGAATCAAATGGTATCGTTTCCTTTAAAAAAAGCTTCAATTCCTAAAAAAATTTAAAATTTTGGAACAAGGTTGTTTGAGAAAAAAAAGAAACACTACAAAAACTAGTTTGCTTAATAAGTTGGTTGAGTTGGATTCTAGGCTAGATCGTGGAGAAGGGGATCGTCTAGACGGGGTTGCGCATATATCTTTGTTAAAAGATATATGCTGCATAGATGGGATCCAAGCGTAAGATGTTGAGCAAAATGCTAAAGTTAATTGGGCTATAAAGTAGGATGAAAACTCTAAATATTTTCATGGCATTCTAAATAAATAAAAAATCGTTTGGTGATTAGTAGTATTTTACGAGATGGGGAGTGGATTGATGCACATGCTAGAGTAAAATGGGAATTTCCCCAGTATTTCCAACATAGATTCTCGGCTCCTTCCATCTCTCAGCCAATCATCACTCAGAATTTCCTGAAAATTTTAACTTCAGATGAAGCTGCGAACCTAGAGTGGGAAGTTTCTACAAGTTGTTTAGGATTGTGGCATGGATAAGTCTCTGGACCTGATGGATACACATTTAAATTCATTATGAAATTTTGCTATCTTATTGAGAATGATATTATAGCAATGGTGAGGGATTTCTTTAGCTCGTGTCTTTTTCCAAAAGGGTGTAATTCGTCTTTTATCGTTTTGATTCCTACAATTAGTGATGCTAAATGTGTTAATGATTTTCATCCGATTAGTCTTATAGGATATCAATATAAAATTGTTGACAAAATCTTAGCTAATCGTTTGGTGTCAGTTGCTGATAAGTTGGTGAGTATGGAACAATATATGTATGGGCCAATGATTATGAATGATATGGTTTCTTGATGTAAAATGAAGAAGAAAAAGCTATGGTTTTCAAAGTTTATTTTGAAAAAGTTTATGATTCTATCAAATGGGATTTCTTGGATGATGTGTTAGGAAATATAGGTTTTGGTAGTTTGTGGAGAAGATGGATCCAAGGGTGCACATTTCTATTCGGGGCTTAATTCTAATTGATGGTTCGCCTACGGATGAGTTCGAATTTTATATACGGCTTTGCTAAGGGGATCCTCTCTCTCCTTTCTTGTTTCTTTTGGTGATGGAAAGTTTGCATGTCGCCTTGCAAGGTGTTCTGGATAGAAATATTTTCTCTGGTATGTCTATTGGTGAAGACTCGACTTTTCATATCTCTCATCTTTTTTATACGGATGATGCTATTATTATTGGGGATTGGAATGATTTGAATAATATGATTATTATGCAGGTTTTACATTGCTTTCAGTTGGCTTTAGATATGCATAAAAGCAAGATTTTAGGTATTGGCATTCCAATTAGGGAGGTTGAGGAAGTGGCAGATTTGATAGAATGTAAGATAATGAAGCTTCTTTTTCATTATCTCGGTCTGGTTATAGGATGTAATATGTCCAAATTGGATGCTTGGTGGGATTTAGTGGACAAAATTGTATCTAAACTTTACAATTGGAAGGTGAAAACTCTTTCAGTTGGAGTCAAATTGACTTTATTAAAGTCGGTTTTGAGTGCTTTACTGAATTACTTTATGTCTTTGTTTAAAGCTCCGTTAGGTATCTTAAAAAAATTGGAATCCATGCGTAATAACTTCTTTGTTGGAGGTGAGTTGGATGAAAAGAAATTGACTTGGATTAGTTAGAATAAAGTGTTAGCTACTAAAAAGGATGGTGGTTTAGGAGTTAGGAGTCTTTTTGCTTTAAATATAAGTCTTCTTTCCAAGTGAGTGTGGCGGTTTCTTTCTAGCCCTAATGTTTTTTGGGTTAGAGTTATTAAAGTTATTTATGGTTCAAAGGGTCTTATTAGGTGTCATACTCCTAAGAATCAACATTCAGTTCGGTTGGATATTTTGAAATCGGTGGAGAGCTTGAATTTCAAGGGTTGGTCTTTTGCCTTTGTGTAAAAAGAAACTTGATAATGGTGTTTTAACTATGTTTTGGGAGGACATTTTGCAGACTCAGTTTTAAGGGGGGGCAAGAGGGGCAGTCGCACAAGGCCCCAATAAAAATAGGGCCTGATTTTTTATTAAATTATATATTTAATAACTATATATATATATATATATATATATATATATATATATATATATATATATATATATATATATATATATATATATATATATGAATTTATTCAAAATATTTCATATAGTCTGGGTAGCCTAATTGACAAAGGCGTATCTTTTAGTCAAAAGCAATGAAGGTTCGATCCTTTTTCACAACATTTTGATGTTGTAAATTCAACTTTCATAATCAACCCCTCCTTCCGATATGTTTAACAAATCAGTTTTCAGAAGTTACATAATTAGCCCTTGAACTTTTTATAAAATTCCATATGTTCTTTTTTAATTAATTTATTTACTTTTAAGATTTCCGTAACGATAATTCATCATCGTAAATTTGTTTTCCTTATATATTAAAAAACTGTATTTAGGGCCCCATTTTTCTTCTTAGCACAGAGCCCTTAAAATCATAGAGTCGGCCCTGAAATTTTGTTATGTCACACACCTCTTAAATCTCAGTTCCCTAGATTTTATGCTCTTGATTTAGCGAAGCAAGCTACAGTCAAAACAAGGTGGAGCAAGTTTCTTTCTTGTTGTCGCTTAGGAGATCTCCCACGGGGGGAGGGAGGGGAATTTCCAGTTTCAGCAACTTCAGGATTTGCTTCAATCTGTGATGCTTTCTCATACTTGTGACAGATGGGTTTGGGCGTTTATCGAGTACAAGTGATTTCTTTGTGGCTTCTGTGAGGTATTTTATTGATGAACATCTTCTCCCTTCTTCTGTTATTCCAACTCGTTGGATTCCTTTGGTGCATATAAAGGTCAATGTTCTTGCATGGCGTTTGAGTCTTGTTAGAGTTCCCACGAAAGTGAATCTTGATAGGAGTGTGGTTTGGATATTTCATATCTTTTGTGCCTACATTGGGATGTGGATATGGAGTCGATGACTCACTTGTTCTTCTCTTGTCCCTTTGTTAAGAATTTGACGTCTTAAGTTCTTAGATAGTGGGACATTGTAGCTCCAAATTTTGTTTCTTATGCTGACCAACTGATTTGGTTTACTTACTTATGGTTGCATCGTCGGGGTAAATTTATTTGGAAGCGGTTTCCTATTGCATGAGTTGGTTTTTTTGGAACTTAAGGAATTCTCGTTTATTTGCTAATTCGCAACGAAGGGCGGATTTTCTTTTTGATAATATTGTTTCTCAATCGTTTTATGGTGTAATGTTAGGGCTAGAAAAATTATCAACTAGTTCGGGTGGCTTCAAAACCCAAAACTAGATATTATGTGAGTCTTTATTTTGTTGTCTAGCTTCTTGCTAGCCTTTTTATAATATATGTCGTTCAAAAAAAATTATACTCATGACATCTCAATGGTCAATTAATTAAAACCTTGTTGGAAAATTTTAGGAATTACAAAAATAAAGATTTTGGTCATATTTTTTGTTAATTTAAAATTTTTATTTAGATTTTCATTTCAGGTTAATCAACTTGAATAAACATAATATAATTTGATTTATAAAATAACCTACTTGACTATCTTTTTAGTTTTCAAAATAACTTAATATGTTTATATATTTTATGTTATTTATAACGAGTACTATTTTTTTTTTTTTTTTTGGAAAGAGAACTTCCCTAACGAGGGTTTCCGGGCCAGCTTTCACACACCGACTAATCCCCCGCTGTAAACATAAAGCTTTGCCTTATGCCCTGGAGTCACTGCAGCCAAACCTCCATGGCCACAAGGGCTGAGTGGTGCCAGGAATTGAACATGGGTCAATAAGTTATCCACCATATCTTCCACATGTCTTACCAAGTCACCACAACCCAAATAGTTAACAAGTACTATTTTAATAACAAGTACTATTTTTAATTAATAGAAAGCCACCTTTTTAGAAAGCTATAACTATTATTAAAAACATAATTTTAGGCTTTTTGACATTTTAGTATAGGTTTTTTATTTAATATTATATTTAAATAATTTTACTATTAAATACTTTTTTTTTGTCTTTGGACGATGATTTTTAAGTTTATTTGATTTTTCATTTATAGTTTGAGTTTAACATAATATTTAGGATTAAAACAAACTAACTATATTTAATTAATCATTGTAAAATTGTGGCATTCAAAAAATATTGAAAAATATACATAATTAAAATAAGGGATAATGATTTAAAAGGGTAATATATTTTATGATTTTTACACATTTAGTCATTGATTTTTTTTCGTCCATATTTTCCCCTTCAACTTGTTAAACTGTACACATTTAGTTCTTATGACCGGCTACTCCAGGTTAACTGGTAAACATGACTTAATAGGATAATATACTTCTTACTTTATACACATTTAGTCCTCAATATTTTTGTACACATTTAGTCATTAATATTTTTTTTGTTGCAAAATAAATCATTTTTGTTTTTATGCTCATTCAGTACTTATGAATGATTTCTTTATGTTTTTCTCACGGCATCTTACATTGGATAGCATATGGTGGTAGGATAGGTTAAGGTGGTCCTGTTATATGTTTTAGGCCAAGATACCTGGTGCAGGTCGGCTGTAAGTCGTAGGCACAGAGGCTCGAAAAGAGCGGTTGGGTTAAGGCGGCATGCCGACAAACCCTGGGTATTCCAGTCTGATGACTGATTGGACCTGTTCCATGTTGGCATTCCAGTCCGATGACTGATTGGACATGTTCCATGTTGGCATTCCAATCCGATGACTGATTAGTCCAAGGTATTCCAATCTGATGAGTGTGGGCCTGTTATGCATGGTAATACATTTGTTGTATCAAGTATTTTGGGGGAAACTCACTAAACTTTGTGTTTACCCAGTTGTTTATCTTTTCAGGTTCTATCGTTGATCTTGGGAAGGCGAAGGCATGACTGTACACACTCATCAATAGTGTTGAGGATTCTATGTTTTTTATATTACTATGATTTTCGATAAATGTATATTGGAATAAACATTTTTTTCTTAATAATGGATCTATAATTAGGGACTTTTGCCTTATTTAAAAATGAAAATTTTTGTTTGTGAAAATAAGACGTTACACATAAACATCAACAACTTCACACACTTCATCAATGATTGTCCACGTAAGATGTTATGAGAAAAACTTAAGAAAATCATTCATAAGTATTTAATGAGTACAAAAACAAAAATGACTTATTTTGAAAGAAAAAAAATATTAATGACTAAATGTGTACAAAATATTAAGGACTAAATGTGTACAAAATGTAAAATATATAACCCTATTAAGTCATTTTTAACCTGGAGTAACTGGTCATAATGATAAAATGTGTAAATTTAACAAGTTGAAGGGGGTTAATGTGAATAAAAAAAAATGTGACCAAATATGTAAAAATCAAAAAATATATTACCCTTTTAAGGCATTATCCCTTAAAATAATTAATGAATTAAAAAAGTCTTACAAGATTCAAAGTCATTAATTACATCTTTTATAATATACCGGATATACACATACATTGTGTAAGATTTGGAATGGATACGAGTTGGTTATCAAATGTTTCAATTCCAATTTTGGTAAGTTTTTTTTAACCATCAAATCTAATTTACTCCTAAGTGAATAACACATATTCCACCTATATACATGTGAGACTTGAACCCTCAACCTCAAAGAGGGAGATCACCACCAGATACCGCTGTGCTACAAGCCTTTTTGTTACAATTTTGGTAAGTAGGTTTACACTTTCACATACCAGTGGATTTATTACGTTTGTCAAGATAGGAGATTTGTAACTAAAACTAAAACTATGTTTAGCGTAATAGCTGAAAAACTAGTTGTTATTATTCGAAAAGCTAGTTGATATTTAAAAAGCTAGTTGCTAACTTATAAAAAATAACGTTTATTAAAAACTAGTTGATAAGCTAACTGAAATATATAAGCTAGCTGAAATATTTAAAATGACATAAAAGATCGTTAGAAAAATATAATTTTTATCAATTAATTAAGGGTTTATTTTGAAAATTCTAAAAAACCTTATAAAAAACTAGTTTAAATAGTATTTTTAAAAAGTTAATTTTTATGCTTTTGTCTTGCCAAATATAACAACTTAAAAAAAAAAAAATTAAAATTGTGTCACGCCAAACATAACATAAATAAAAGCAACACATACATCGAAGATTAATTGTGAATCCCTACTATTCTTTTGGGATATATCCCTTATCAAGAGTCACCAAGAGTATTGTTTTATCAGGTTACCTTATAGAGTTAACTTTCTGATTATTATTTTTCCTTTAATTATTATTATTGTCATCGTTATTAATATTCTTAGTTTTTAAATATTTATGCATAAAGCAAACACGAAATTAGAATGCCATTGAACTTATACGCGACTAAGTGACATGTAATCCAGGGTATTTGAGGCATGATTCAACATGTAAATAAAATAGAGTAGTTTAATTTTAATTCAAATAGGACTTTGATCAAACGCCATCACGTATATTGGAAAGACGTCCCTTAACCAAAAAGATAAGGGATCCATTGCCATAGTGAACAAAAATGTAAATTAGCATGTGTTTTCATTGTCTTAAGAAAAACTGCAATTCGAATGATTTACATAGAACGATGAATGCCTTTGTGATTAATTGTTCGAGGCATGATCCATCAACATGTAAAGAGTAATATGGAGCTAAAATCGAGGAATATGAAGCTAACTAGTAAGAATTTAGATTACTTTTCTGAAAGTTCTGTTGGTAATTTTATCACTAAATATATTTTAGTGTAATGGATTTAACAAGTGTTTCAAGAATAATGTTTTAGTTATAATACAAGTTAGGAGGTGTAAGAGTGCACACTTGTATTTACTAAAACATTGTTAGTACCGAACACTAATTTACTGTGTCAAGTCGGAGGTCCCGCTTGAAAGATGTAAATTTAAGGACTAATCTTTCTTTTTTAAAAGATACAAATTGTTTTCAGCTATCCGTTAATTGGATAAATCAAAGAAACGGCACCAATTGAAACACAGAAAACCAGGAAACGCTTCCTTCTTCATCTTCTTCTAAAAATGATTCTGATTTTGTGCCTAAAATCAGAATTGTTGCATCAGGAATTATCCTAAGTTTGAATTTCGTGATACCCAAGACATATAGAGTCGAAATATCAAACAAAGAAAGTGATTATATGATTCATGTTTTGTTATCCAGATTTCCATAACCCTATTTCGATTTTCCCCAACAAGTTCTTTATAAAAATTGAACATGTTAAGTGATTACAATTGGATAAACAATACAAAAAAAATGGTTGCCAAAGGCAACAAAAGTTGTCGTTGTAGCCTTATGGGAACTCCACAATGACATGCTAAAGTTAAAAATGTTTATTAAATTAACTTTCAAGTTCTAACAACATCACCGACATACTAACTATAAAAACAACTTATGACCAAATTAATTATGTCTTTAAATCTTTACAAATCTACAATATTTACTGGTCTTTCCGTCTCACGAAAGAGTACTAAACAATATAACTATCGACATACTCGAATTTTATTATAAAAATATGGTAGTTGTTCCAAGGTCAAAGCTTATTTTAAGTCTAATAATTTTTATATACATGTTTGGAGCAAGCCTACTTGTATATCAATTATTTAAATCAGATGCTTGTATGTAAGGTACATAGAAACGGGATATCAATTTATAGTCAAGTATAATAAATAATATTATGGAAAAAGTCACAATTAATAGGGTCAATAGGTTATCTGTGATTGATAATATTATCATCTACTAGACCTTTTTCATGTATATATAAATTTCTATGAAAAATGTTGATACTGATACATACCAACGACTAAAAGAATCTAATGATGCATTGTACACACAATGTAATTAAAAATTAAACATTCATAGTCAAATAAAAAACGATTGAGTGAAGTTGTAAACAGTACGATATAATCTAACAAATGGAGAAGTAATCTAATGAAGTACAAAAAGTAATGACTAATTCAAAAATATTAACGCTGGAATACATCATTATAATAAAAACAAACATAATGAATACATATTCAAAACTAAGTCGATTGAGAACTCAAATTCAATCAACTATTTCTTTTTCTAATAAATTTTTACGTACATGTATCAGCTTCTTGATGTAGCATGTGATATTTTAAAAAAATTCTGACACAATGTAAATTTTTTAAATATGTCGTCCCTAAAATTACGTATTTTCTGTGAGATTTTGTTTTGGGTCCACCATTTTGACACATGGTGTGATACTGGGATTGTGCCACTAAAAAGATTAACACAAAACTTTTTATCAAAAGTCATTCAAAAAAATATTTAAAAGTAGAATATATTAAAAATCTAACAAGATGCTTAAAATTTTGGCATATAAATACAATTTTTTTCGTTTTTAACATAAATATGTGTGAAAATTTTATATAGATAACGTTAAATAACTTATTTCCCATCATTAGATTTTAAAGACACATACATATTTTGTTGACACAAAACAAAACTATTGAAATACATATTATTTAACGACAATATTATATTATGCAAAAGCCCAAAAGCCCAAAACATTGAATACACAATAAAACGTCACTAAGTCATTATCCTGTGCAAAGTAGAGTTGCATAACCGGTTTGGGTTTAAAAAAACCCAGTTCCTACAACAAAACAGTTTGAGTTATAGTCGGTTTGTTTTTTTTGAAATAAATTTTTGTTAATAAATCGATTATTTTCAGTTTAAAACTCGGTTTGGTTTTTTAGAAATCGATTTTCGATTTCAAAAAAATGAAATAAAATAAAACTGAGTCTAAACCGCTGGTTAAGTTTAAACGGTTCTGTTCTCACCGGTTTTATTCCACCAATTCTAAAAAAACCAGTTCATTTTGTGCAAAGGGCCAAAAGGCCCAAACATTAATGATTCAAATATCTTTTTTAAGTTCATTAGGTGGAACTTAATTTATCAAAATGATTTTGTATACATGTTTTCGAGATATTTTGTTGAATATATATTTTAGGCCCATTTTATGAGTTTTCATTTTTGTATTTCTTTTTTTCTCTCTCCAATGGAATGAAATCATCTTTTGAAAACTGCTTCGAATTACATAATAACACTATTTCACACTCTCCACTCTATTGAGGTCGAAAAATAAAACCCATATAGATTCAGTTGCGTTAATGGATATAGTTCTTGAAGACAAATATTTTTTATCATATACAACAATAAATGTTTTAATAAATGTTTTACTATAATATACAAATTATAGAATTCTCTAAAATATAAAGTGTTAGAACAAAAGAAAAATGTTATGTACTTATGAAATGAGGTATTTCTCTACACATGGCGAGCATGGATGGAACGTTGCACCATGCCACAAAGAACACGTCGTCGTTTATTAATAAAAAACTACGTAAGTATAATGGATATTTAGAACATCGGGACTCTATAAAGTATAAAGTTGATTTGATACTTAGTAGATGATATATTTTTTTGTTACCAACGTTTATTTATTTATTTTTCTTACATAATGTAAAAAATAACTCAAGTAAATATCAGTAAAATATCAATGTAAACTAATCCGTTTTCAAGAAAAATGAAAGAATTTTCAATCAAACAAAAATAAAAGACATTATTTACATTTTCTTGTCTAGGTACTTATAGGATTTTGTAATTATTTTAGAATAATACTGTTTTATATCACAATGTTTTGATAAATTAAATTAAGCTAACATAATAAAAAAGATGAGAATATAACTATATAAGATAAAGTTCAATAAACTAAAAGGTGTTTTTTCATCTTTAAAGAATACAATAATATCTTAAATGCAAATCAAATGTGAAATATATATTATCCACGTTATCAGTTTATCAACACCCATTTTCGACCATTAAAAGAGACGTAAAATAAGGAAAAAAACATTGTGGGTCTCGTATTTGTGAAATGAGGAATTTAAGGAAACAACACAAAACGATTTTTTGGAGAAAAACGTGAAGAACCAAAGAGTAAAAACGGCCTTGTAATGGTATAAAAACATTTCCTACGCCCACAACGAAACCACAATCCCAGGTAGCACCTGGAAGAAGCCAACTTCTTCTTCCTGGTCTTTTAATAAAATTTTATATTTTCTATTTTCTTCTATCTGTCCTGTTTTATATTATTATATACACACCGATATATAAAAAAATATATATTCTAGGTGTCTCCGGGATTGTATGATGGATACTCTAAAATTTGTTTTTTTCTCTGCATTCCTTAGCGTCACATTGACGTTAGTGAACGCAGAAGATCCTTATATCTTCAATGAGTGGAAGGTCACCTACGGGACAATATCCCCTTTAGGTGTCCCACAACAGGTCATTTTAATTAATGGCAAATTCCCTGGACCCGTCATTAACTGCACCAGTAACAACAATATCCTCGTTAATGTTTTCAACAACCTTGACGAGCCTTTCCTCCTCACCTGGAACGGTGTCCAGCACCGGAAGAATTCCTGGGTGGATGGCACACCGGCGACGATGTGCCCTATCCAACCAGGAACCAACTTTACTTATAAGTTCCAGGTGAAGGATCAAATCGGTACTTACTATTATTTCCCCACCACCGCCTTGCACAGAGCGGCTGGTGGCATTGGCGTCCTGCAAGTGCACAGCCGGCCGTTGATTCCGGTTCCCTTTGATAATCCGGCAGATGAGTTTGCAGTGGTGGTCGGAGATTGGTTCAAGAAAGGTCACAAGTCTATGAAGAATCTTCTCGATGGCGGCAACTCCATCGGCCGCCCTGACGGCCTCCACATCAACGGAAAATCGGCTCAGGTCGGAGCACCGGCGGAACCGTCGTGGACTTTTGAGGCCGGAAAAATTTACCGGTTTAGGTTTTGTAATGCCGGAATGAGGACTTCGGTTAATTTTAGGTTTCAAGGACATGATATGAAGTTAGTGGAGCTTGAGGGGTCCCACCTCATGCAAAATGATTACATGTCAATGGACCTTCATGTGGGCCAATGTATGTCAGTGTTAGTCGCCGCCGATCAACCACCCAAAGACTACTACTTAGTGGTGACAAGCAGGTTCACCAAGACCCTACTGACCACCGTCGCTACAATCCGATACACCGGAGGAAACGGGCCAGCATCGCCTGAGCTCCCACCTCCACCGCCGGAAAACACCGCCGGAGTTGCGTGGTCGATAAACCAGTTCAGAACATTCCGGTGGAACTTAACCGCCAGCGCCGCCCGGCCAAATCCACAAGGTTCTTACCATTACGGACAGATTAACATCACTCGCACCATGAAGTTTGTGAACAGCAGGAATTATATCGACGGAAAGCTTAGGTTTGCTTTGAATGGAGTCTCCCATAAGGATCCACCGACGCCATTAAAGCTCTCTGAGTATTTCGGATTGGCCGAGAAAGAATTCAAATACAACCTCATCCCCGACGAGCCACCACCGGAAGTTGAAAAGAACTGCAAGGTAGCACCAAATGTATTGAACGCAACCTTCCGAAACTTCGTGGAGATCATATTTGAGAACAGAGAGAACACGATTCAGTCGTATCATCTAGATGGGTACTCATTTTTCGCGGTGGCGATAGAACCAGGGAGGTGGAGTCCGGAGAAGAGGAAGAATTACAACCTAGAAGACGCAGTGAGCAGACACACCGTACCTGTGTTTCCGGGATGTTGGGCGGCGGTGATGACCACCCTTGATAACGCCGGAATGTGGAGTTTGAGATCGGAGATGTGGGAGAGGTTCTATTTGGGACAGCAGCTGTACTTCAGCGTACTCTCGCCGGAGAAATCCCTGAGAGACGAGTATAACTTACCGGAAACTTCATTGCTTTGCGGCGTTGTTAGCAATTTGCCCAGGCCAGCACCATACGTTTAGATTTAAATCTTTTCTGTAAGTAATTAATTAAGTTTTTGCCCCTTTTTTGTGTGGCCAAACAAACGGATTAAGATAAGAAATTGCAAGGGAAAATGTGACATTCGAATTTGAATAAATATATATATAATATAATATGTATGTACATGATCTTGTTGTAATCATCCCTTGATCAAATGAATTGGCCTTTCTGGTTGTTCGATTTCAGTATTAATTAGTCTATATCTTCTTCAACAAATCGCTACAAATCACTTGTAATCATCCACAATCAAATGAGAATTTGGCTTTTTTCTTTTAATGATTATTATTGTTCAGTTTTTGGTGCAATTGATCTTATTCGACTGATTCTTACGAAAATTCTGATGATTAAAACATACGATTTCACTGTGTGATCATTATATTCATATTAAATCTATGAAATGCTTAGGGTTTTTCGATATTGCATGAGGTAAGTAAGAAAATGTATCATTTGGCTTCACGCTGTCATATTTATAAAGAGTAACTTGGGCATCACAGGAGGTGGTGTAGGAACTCCGGCCATCGTCATCACGGTAACATTATTTGAAAATTACCGGTCTAAGTTTGCTCGTTAAATTGTTCATTTTGAATTGTTTGACCGTTTTAATGATCTATGCATTAAATCTTACGATACACCAAACTACCAAAGGGCTTGTAGTAATCAGGTGGTGCTCTCCTTCTTTGAGGTCGAGGGTTCAAGTTCCGTCGTGAACATAGGTGGAATAAGTGTAGTTAGCTTAGGAGTAGATTACATTTGCCGGTTCAAAAAAAAAATCTTACGATACAATTAACTAAAGCAATTATTTTGGTTTTGTTAATTTAGGTTGTAAAAAAATATAAATATTTGTAATTTTTTGTCATCTATAAATAAATAAATATATCCTTAGCCAGTAAAAGTTTGATTTTTTTTTTTTTTTTTGAGTAAATTACATTAATCATCTCTCGTGAAAGTGTTAAAATACACGTTCAGTCCCTATTTTCGAAAGAAAAATTAAATATCTTTCTACCTTTTATTTTTATTTCTTTTCAAACCACATGAAATGGTAACAAGTGTTTTAGATAAAACTAATGATATTTTAGAACACTTGTCATTTGGACCGTCCCTTTTTACTTTAAATTTACGTAGTCGATGGTTTGAAGGGGACAACAACGACTTCGGATGTACTTCTGGTGGTCGGATTTTAACTGTGCTCTTGGTGGTTGAAGGTTGTCGACAGGACGGTAGTTTGTGCTCGGTGGTTAAAGGTGGCTCACGGTGAAGATGTTGGTTGATTGGTGGAGGAGATTACAAGATGGTGATTATGGTAATTGTTGGTTTTGCTGGTGCTACAACAGGTGCTTGTGGAGGATCCAACTCTAGATGTACCCCTATCACATTTAGCTCCAAACTTCAGTTCCACCTCATGTACTTTCTTGCCTCGAGAGATCAAATCCAAACTTCTTAAATTCTTCCTAAAAACTAGTTATTTTTCCATCCATTAGTTCATCCACTCAACTAGTTCATCCACTCTGCTAACGTCTCCATAAAACTTTTAATGTCCAGACGAAATTCTTTGAAAATGTTCAACCATATTCACGAACTTCCATGAGGATTATCAACAGATAGAGAGCTTCTTGTTTTCGTTGAAAACGGTTTTCTATCCTTTACAGAGAAGGGGGTCACTTTACTTTTAAAAATTATAACTAATAAAAAAATAAACATAGATAAGGACACTATAGTCTTTTCAAGTCTCACGAGCATGCAAATTTAAATTAACGAGGAATGAAATGTGCAACTTTTAAAAAACAATGGACGGTCCGTGTTAATTTTTAAAAATAGAGACCAAACGTGCATTTTGGCATCTACACAAGGAACGACCCGTGTAATTTACTCTTTTAAAAATCATTTGGTTTCGTTTTCAATAATTTTTAGCTCTTTGGTTTGAAAAATCATTAAATTTCGGATTGTGATAGAAAACCAAACAACAAATTTCGGTTTTTATAATTTTGTCTAGGAGTATATCTTTCATATAAATTCATTAATTATTTCTATAATTTAGTCTAAAAATATTAAATTGTTACTGGGATTGTCGGATGTATTCATTCGGTCTGTTTTTCATTAGAAACAAATACACCCGTAAAAATCATGTTTATCAAAAACCAAAATTTTTTGGAAAAAACCTAATCTAGTCAAAGGAGTCAATTTATTAAATGTTTTTATTGTGAGAACAAATAACTTTTTTCATAAAATATTACCAAAAACACATTTTTTTCTAAAAACAACACACAATATTTTGCCAACAATTTGGTTTAACCATTGATCTTTGAAATTACATGGTTGCGATAGAACTTTTATCAAAAAAAAAATTGTTGTTTTCAACACAAACTAAAAAGGTGTTAAAGCCGAAAAATTTATAAAATATACCATTTTTATGTTATTAGTTTTTTTTTTTTTCTAAAACAGCAAACTAATTTACTTCTAATAACCATATACCTCTTTAGAGATATTTAAACTCATGAACTCTCAATTAAGATAACCACTACTTACCAGGCTCGGTTTTAAAGAGGAGCAAGGTGTGCAGCCGCACAGGACTTCGAAAAATAGGACTCGATTTTTGCAAAATTATATGATTAAAATATTAATATATTGAATGTTTTCAGAATTTTAACACAAATATGCGTCAGTTTAGTTGGGTAAAGCGGCATGTGTTTAAATATTTGAAGTTACAATTTCTAGCTTTAATTTATGATCCAATTCAGTTTACTAAATCAATTTCAAAAAATTCTACATATAGCCCGTGAACTTTTATAAATTTATAATTGTCATTTTGTTTATTAATTTAATTTACTTTTTTTAGTTTTTTTTTTTTATGACAATTTAGCCTTTAATTTTAGTTTCTTATATATATATATATATATATATATATATATATATATATATATATATATATATATATATATATATATATATGTTCAGGTTCATTTGAAACCATTCAAATTTTGTGAGACCGTGAGAACAAATCTAAAAATAATTTTAAAATGGAAAAATCAAAAAATTCTTTTTTTAAATATTATTTTCGGAACTTGAATTAACTAAAAAAAAATCCGTTTTTTTTAAAATTAGTGAAATATTCTAATAGAATATTACACTGACATATTCTAAAAAATAATTTTAATATGCAAAATAAATGGAAAAATCTAAAAATTCTTTTTTAAATATTATTTCGGAACTTGAATTAACTAAAAAAAATAAAAATAATAAAAATAAATTCCATTTTTTTTAAAAAAATACATGAAATATTATAATAGAATATTACACTGGCATATTATAAAAAATAATTTTAAAATGCAAAATAAATGGAAAAATCCAAAAATTCTTTTGTTAAATATTATTTTCGGAACTTGAATTAACTAAAAAAAATAAAAAATAAAATAAAATAAAAAAATGCGTCTCACGGTCTCACAAAATTAGATCGTCTCACATGAACCTAACCATATATATATATATATATATATATATATATATATATATATATATATATACACACACACACACATATATATATATATATATATATATATATATATATATATACATACACACACATATATCTTTACTATCTTATAAAACAAATCTCACTATTTCTAAAAATAGATTGAATAAAATAATAATATTTTTTTAAGACGTCCAAATCATTAAGCTAATTGTACAACTAATCACTAATAAAATAATATTAAAATTTAAACAAACTCCTATAAATCTTCTCTTCCAAGGTTTTGATCATATCTTTTTTCATCCAAATAAATACTCAACATCCTATAATTTGGTCATTTCATGAATTTTCTTTATTTTTAATATGACACGTTTCCTAAAACAAACTAATGATTGAATTGAAAATAATCATTTTCTATCGAAAAGAAATTAATTGTCGAAACAAACTATTTGTCGTCCGCCGCTTTGTGCGGGCAAACGACTAGTATATATATATATATATATATATATATAATTTAGACCCCATTTTCATTTTTGGTTGTCGGTTAGATGTTACGATATATTATTAATCGTTAAAATACTATGGTTTTTCTATATTTATTGCTATAAAATTTATCGTCACTTTAAAAATAACTTTAGTTTGTATAATTAATTTATTACATGTAATGGCATAAGGATATATTTTTCAGGTTCGTCCTGGATATTTAAATACTCAGGACTTGCCCTGCTCCTTACCACTAAGATAATAATAATAATTACTTTGATATATTTGTTTATTTGTATTTGTATTTTTATTTTCTTTTTCTGTCGGAAGTCTATTACGGAAACAATCTCCTAACTTTTATGGTGGGAGCTACCATCATCCTACCTTCCTCTTACTTCATTTGTATAGAATTACATTAATCTTATTCAGTAATTTATGACTGATAATGAACCGAAGGCTTATGTAGTCATTAGTCAGACATAATTTTTTAAAAATTGTTGAAAAGTACGAAAAGAAAGCATAGAACTGTATTGTATAAAATCTGAAATATCCAATTAATAAAAACTAATGGAATAATAGATATAGGTGCAAAAAAAAATGGACCGTGCTCTCTGAACTGGGCCACGTTAGCAATAACTGCGTCAAGTAGAACCAGCTTGGACAGCCTGTTTTCAGTGGGTTACACTGATAAAAATATTTATTCTTTTATAAATTTTCAATTTTTATTTGTATTTTCATAATTATTTAATTTATTTCTTTCATTTGTTTTTTCATAATTATTTAATTTATTTTCTTGTAAACTTATTTTAATACAATAATGCTGTATTTGTTTGTAATTTTATTATAAATCATAACATTCACAAATCAATAAATAATCTTCATAAAGCAACAACAATTTCAAAATAATAAATTTAAGACACAATTACAAATTTGGTACATAAAATTAACCCAAAATTACTTCAGTCTAAACCCTAACCCATATAAGATAAAGATTTATATTTATATAATTTAATAAACTTAAGACAAAGT